CCGCTCGGCGCGCCGCGGTCCTCGGTCCAGTGAGCGCCCTGCCACTGCAGCCATGACGGTGGAGTTCGAGGAGTGCATCAAGGACTCGCCGCGCTTCAGGTGCGTCCTGGCCGCCGGGAGAGGGGTGCGGGCGGGGACAGCGAGCCGCCTTTGTGCGGGCGGCGTTGCTCAGCGTTGCGACCGAGCTGTGGCCGCCGGAGACCGAGGCGGAGGGCCCGGCTCGGGACAAAGCAGCGGCCCCGTCCCGCCCCCGCCCCGGGGGACTAGAACAAAAGACGCCCCTGTGTGGCTCACCTCGCTCGGAGGGTGTGAGCGTGGGCGTCCCAGCCCCCGTGCATCAGTGTCCGGTTGGGCAGTTGTGGGGACGGCCATCTCCAGCACTGTCCACCCCCGCTTTGTATCTACACTTTTCTGCTGTGGCAACCTGCACTGGCTGAGGTCCCTCCCCTTCCCCCAGCCACCCTGCAGCCCAGCTCTGGGCAAGGTTGTCTGGGTCCAGGGTGTTCATCCCTCGACTCTGTTTTAGCCCATGTGTCCAGAGCAATGCATGGGTACAGGCAGCTGTTGCTACGTTTAGGGCCTAGAGTAGGCCACTTGGTAGGAATGAAGGGTAATTTGACCACAGGGCCTGGAGGGTGGGGGCTGTCCAGGATGGTGGGAAAGGACAAGTATCCACTGGGGGTTTGTGTACCTTTCATTATTCCTGAGCATGCAGGCATGCACATCTGCATGAACCACATATTCATGGACGTGTACACAAGTGTGCATCTGTTTCAATGGTTGGACGACATTTGGCAAACAGTAGTGAAGCACTTCCTATATGCAGTTTGCAAGTATGCCCCTTCGTGAGGCCACATGCCTCTGCACATGCACATGTGTAGGTGCACATGTGTGAGCTTTGCCACTCTGCCCCCTTTGAGGTGCCACACCATGTACCTGGATGTGTGGGTGAGCTGCACCCTGGACTGACGTGCTTTGTGCATTCACTTAGACTGATGATAGTCAGAGGCACGCATGTGTGTGTATTACCTGTCCCTATGGATTCACGTACTGAGTGTGTTGTGCTGTAAACACCTTAGTCTGTGTAGAGGTGTGTTCTAAGACCAGGTACACATGTCCACGCACATGTTTGCACCCCATTCTCTGGAGCACATATGTATAAACACTCTGCCACTGCATGCATGCGTGTTTGTGCATGAGCCTGTGTCATGCTTCTGCATGTGTATTCTTGGACATTCTTGCATGTGCATGCTGGGTTTCTGGGAGCCTGCCTCAGCATCCTTAGAGCCAGCCTCTTGCAAAACCACCTCACAAGGAGTCATTAACAAAGGCCTTCGGGAGCCTGGAGTTGAGAGGGTCAGGGTTGGCCCAGAGTGGCCCCAGGCCCTGGGCAGAGAGACTAGAGGTCATCCTCTGGGTTCTCCCATCTTCCATTGCTGACTGATCTGAGTGACTCAGGCACCCAGAATCTTGGACCTGGGTTGTGGGGGAGTCATGGCCAGGGCCTTTTTCCTGCGGCTTGATACAGACTGAGGCACCCAACTTCACCCTTACTCAGAAGCCTGTGGCTCTTCCTCCCACTGTGGATGGGCATATGAGGGACTGGAACCCCACTTAATCCTGGGCCTCCCCTCCCACAACCAGCCTGTTGAACTGGTGGGAGTGTCTCTCTCTGGCGGGGAGGTGCCTGGAGCCTGCCTGTGAGTATGGGCTGGGGTTGAAGATGACTACTGCACCTTGGTCCTAAGGCGGTGGAAGCCTGGCTGCATGCACTGGGGTGGGCTGTGGTCTAACTAGAGCTCGCAGAGCCTCTGTCCATTACCCTCGGGTGTAGCTCATTTGAGGGTGGGGCTGTGGGAGTATGTGGAAGCATGGAGAGCCTAGTCCCCAAGCGTGCTTGGGGTCTCCTGGCCTGGGGAGGGGCTCGTAACAGCCTCAGGGATACCCCCTCGACCAGGGGCACTGTGGTGGGGGTCCTGAGAAGCTGAGGAAGGGGCACCACCTCAGGGTGTCATGGCCCGTCCCCTGGGAGGGGCTTCAGGCGCTGAGTCAGGGCTTTGGTGGAGGGGCCTCCTCCCCTGGCCCAGCTGCAGGGAGCCAGAGAAAGACCGCAGGTCCCAGACTGAGGAAAGGAGAAGAAGGGCTCCTGCTGGACCTCTACTGAGCACCCACCCTGTCCCCTTGCCATCTCCTAAAGACAGGCTCCTGGTCAAGGGCAGTAGCTCTGGGTGCAGCTGTCCAGTCATCTGGCCTTCTCAGGGGAGCCAGGGTGACCCCATAGCACTCTTCTGGGCAGGCGCTCCCTTCTCTGTTCTGGGACTCTCAAACCAGTGGTCAAAAGTCCAGAGTCTGAACTTCCCTGTGTCCACACCTCCAGGTGGTGTGGGTTGGGCAGTAGTTCCAGGCACTCTTCCTAAGCCTGGCAGGCTGGTGTGGCACACACAGGTCACCCATGGTCCAAGCAGCTGCTGGAGCTCCATTTCCTTCGTCCCCTCTTTGCTCCAGGACTTAGGTTCCCTTAGCCTCTCCAGGGGTGGGGGCTGCTCCCAGAACAGCTGATGTCCGGCCAGCATGGGCAGACAGGACCTTTGATAGTTCCTGGCTGGGACAGCCTGACCATTTCAGTCCCAGCTCCTACTTAAGGACACACCAGACCATGTCCCATGTGACCTGTAGGTCCGTTCCCTAAGTTTGGAAACTCCTCCTTTCTCTGCTTGTCCAGGGAGTGGGGGTCGCAAGGGGTGAGGGGATGCTAGACCTGGGTGGCCTCCCCTCTGTTGGACCCCCCACCCAAGACTTGTCCCTGGAAGACTGCCTCTGCCCCAGCCTGTGCCTATCCCGCCCCCCGCCGGGGGTTCCTCATCCCAGGCAGGTCAGATGGGCTTGGTTCACCAGCTGAGTTGACTGTGCAGGGTGGGGGACTGCTGGGATCCTGGCCCTATTTCCTTATTTCCTGTTCCCAGAGGGTGGGGGTGTCACGTGCCTGATCCATCTGCCTCTGGCTTCCGGGATTCTCCCCTGGCTTCTCCCGGTGATGTCACTCCTTAACTCTTCCCACCCCGTGGCAGCCCCATTGTCAGGCTGCCCTGATGGGAGTGGGCTCTGGGGAGACCCGACCCACCTCTCCCTCCAGGCGGACTGTGCTTGTTGGAGTTTGGGGGTTGAGGAGTTGGTGGACCTCACTTCTCAGCTGGTTTGGGGCTTTATTCTGCTCCTCAGCAAGGCTTGGCCCAGGCTGTCATGAGCACCACCTCTGTGGCTCTCTGGCTCCCTGCTGTCCTCAGGGGTTGAGGCCTTTCCTAACCTCTGCCCTCCCTTCCCCGACTCCTGGTGCATCAGTCTCAGTTGGGCAGGGGGTGTTACCACCAGTGTAGCCTCTTCCTGGGGTGATGCTGGGTGCTGGATGGCTCCAGAGTTGCTGAACCTGGGTCTCTTCCCTCTTGCCCTCAGGACAGAGTGATCGCCTCTCCCAACCTCAGTTTCCTGGAAGCTTCTTTCTATGGCAGACCCCCCTGGGGGAGGTGCAAGGGGAGACGAAGCCCAAGTCTGTCCCCTCGTCAGCACAGAGGGCTGCAGATTGATCCCAGCCACCTGTTCTTGTTGCAGGGCCACCATCGATGAGGTAGAGACAGATGTGGTCGAGATTGAGGCCAAACTGGATAAGGTGAGGGGGACGCCTGGGGCACATGGAGGGTCAGTGTGGCTCTGCCCGCCCATCCTAGCCCCCTAGTCTGAAAGCAGGACTGGCTTTTCAGGACTTAGGAGCTCATGCACACCCAGCAGTGTGCAAACACTCATGTGCATGCTCAGGACCTGGATCTGCCCCTGACTCCCCCATCCGTGTCCTCCCACACACATCCCAGGGTGCACATACCATGTGCACATACGTGAGTCTCATCCCCTTGAGGGGCTGACCCAGGCATGTCACCCAGGCCTCTGCTGGCTGCTGAATGAGGGACAGCTGCTGTGAGGTTGTGCCCAGTGTACCTGGGTTGGGGACCTGGGGGGTGACAGAATCAGTGCCGGGGAGGAAGAAGGGACTGTCAGTGCCATGAGCCCACACTGGCTGCCTTTAAGTCTGAAGTGCCACATCACACCCCAGCCCTGGCCCCCTACTTTAAGTTCCCCTGTCCTGCCCAGTCTGCTGCTCCAGAACCCAGACCATGGACTGTCCTGTGTGCCAGCAGGCTTATGCAGGCTGCTCATGGGCAGCTGCATACTGGGCACCAGTGGGCCCTGAGTTGAGTTCTGACCTCGCACTGACCTCCCTTGGAGCTGTGTGCTTCTCTCTGGCTGGAATGGACCTCTCGGCCATTGTGAGCATTGCTCATAGGAGCTGCCAGACCCTCACCCTTCCTGCTCTGTCCCATCCATAGCTGGTCAAGCTGTGCAGTGGCATGATCGAGGCCGGCAAGGCCTACGTCACCACCAACAGGCTCTTTGTGAGTGGTGTCCGTGACCTGTCCCAGCAGTGCCAAGGTGACACCGTCATCTCGGTGAGGTGCCAGCTGGCTTTTGACCGCCAGGTGGGGGTGGAGCAGGGAGACAGCCCCTCAAGGGGGCCCAGGCTCATGAGCAGGTGTCTGGACTCCCTGCTCTGTAGCCTGTGGGCAGGGAGGGGACCCTTTGGACATGGTGAGGTGCCACCGGCACCATGGCCTCAGCCCTCTTGCTCTTCTCCCCAGGAATGTCTGCAGAGGTTTGGAGACAGCCTGCAGGAGATGGTCAACTACCACACGGTGAGCCTCATGGGTGTGAGGCCCCAGCCTCCATCCTTCTGCCTCCACCAGCTCCCAAAGGCCCTCCCTGGCCTGGAACAGACTAACTAGCTCACAGGGAGCCAAGTGGGTGGCCACCCATGAGGAAGGCCATGTCCTACACATCCAGTCTGTGAGAGTGGTGGCCACCCATGTCTGTGAGTCAGTGGGGTGTGGAGGCCTCCTTTGGGAGCCCTGCCATGTCCCATGGACCCAGGTAAGAGACAGACTGGGTCCTAGAGGCAGGGGAAGTAGCACAACCTAGGGCCATGGGCAGTGGGGTCTCAAGGTGGGGGAGACCTCGAAGCTCGTCTAGATCTCCCAGCTGAGCAGAGTACTCGTTCCATCTTCCCAGATGACCCTGCATCATCCCTGCAAGACTCGCCCTCGCTGTTTGGGCAGGGCCAGGACTGATGGGGACAGACACACAGAACAGGCTGAGGCACATGGCGGGGCGGGGACTGGGAACTGGAGCCTAGACTGAACGAGGGGGCCCCCACCCCTGCAGGGAAGTTCAGAAATAAACCTGCTCAGGACGGCTCAGCGAGTTCCTGTCTCTCTGCCTGTCTGGGTTTGGCCCAGCCCTCCTCTCCTTGAGGGTTTGATTCTGAGTGCCCCTCCACCATGAAGCCCTCACCACCATGCCCCACTTCTCCCCAGGCTGGCTCTGATGGAGCCCTTCCTGCTAAGGGTGGGCAGCCTCCAGTGGCTGTTTTGTGCTGCCCGTGTGAGCACTGTGGGTGTAGCTGGAGGAGGAGCCCATCTGACAGCATTAGTCTGTAGACTGGCTGAGGGCCAGGTGGAAAGAGGGGCAGGTGGTCACAGCTGTTGCCTCTGGGCACCAACCCAGGCTGGGAGTCATTCTCTGGCCCCCAGAGGCCAGCTCCTGGTACAGAACAGGCTGCACTGGTAGCACCCTCTGCAGAGAGTTGGGCCCAGGCAGGTCTGGGTAGGAGGGCAGAACTCTCCTGATTCTCACGACGGGGATGGATGGGGCCTCCACTGGGTGGTTCTGTAGGGACAAACCCCCACAAGCTCCTCCCTGCCTCTGTCCCCAGATCCTGTTTGACCAGGCCCAGAGGTCTGTGAGACAGCAGCTGCACAATTTTGTCAAAGAGTGAGTGGTCCAAGCCCCAAGGTTGTGCTTCATCTCCAGGACAGGGGAGTGGCCAAGGGTATCCAGACCAAGGTCTCAAGGCTGGTTGGAGGACCCAGGGTCCAGCTCAGTCCCCATAGGTGTGGTTGGGTTGCGGGGGGTACCACAGGGGAGATGTTTGTTGACTTTGGATCACTGGATCCTGGAGCAGGAAGCAGGGGAGGGGGCTGGTGGCTAGGGTGGGGTGGGGGCCAGGATAGCGAGCAAGAAAGGAGGCCCTGCCCAGCAGCAGAGGAGAAGCTGGGAGTAGAGGAAAGGCTGTTAGAGGTTGGGTCAGCACATCCCTTCTCCAGCCTCTGACCTTTGACCCAACACTGGCCTTCAGGGATGTACGGAAGTTCAAGGAGACGAAGAAGCAGTTTGATAAGGTGCGGGAGGACATGGAGCTCTCCTTGGTGCGGAATGCTCAGGCCCCAAGGCATCGGCCCCATGAGGTGGAGGAGGCCACGGGTGCCCTCACCCTCACCCGGAAGTGCTTCCGCCACCTAGCCCTGGACTATGTGCTCCAGGTCAGCTGAGAGGTTGGCTCCTGAAACAGGGAGGGGTCTGTCCTGCACGAGTCAAGAGGTGGGGATGAGCGGTGTGGGCTGAGGACCTTCGGCAGGAAGGCAGGGGTGAGGTTCTTGGCTTCGCCTGGAGAGAACCCTGTGTCCAACGTGGGAGATTGAGGCTGGCATGGCAAGACACTGAGGATGACCTGGGGCTCTCAGGACCACTGGCAGCCTAAATGGACTCTGGTCAGGTGGAGCCATGGGTTCTGGCCCTGAGACCTGGCCTGTTTGCTCCTCCTCTGGCAGATTAATGTCCTCCAGGCCAAGAAGAAGTTTGAGATCTTGGATTCTGTGAGTGCTTGTGGGGGGTGCCTGTGAGCAGGCCCGTGCAGAGAGCCCTGCTCACTGGCCCCTGTGCCTGCAGATGCTGTCCTTCATGCACGCCCAGCACAGCTTCTTCCAGCAGGGCTACAGCCTCCTGCACCAGCTGGACCCCTACATGAAAAAGCTGGCAGCTGAGGTGAGCCTGGGGAAGGTGGACCCGGGCCAGGGTCTCAGGGAGGGGCTCACTGCCTCTCTGATGCCCCCAACCCCACAGCTGGACCAGCTGGTGATCGACTCTGCCGTGGAGAAGCGAGAGATGGAGCGCAAGCACGCGGCTATCCAGCAGCGGGTGAGGCTCCCGGAGCCTGCTCTTAGCCTCACCCCCCCATCCCCCTGCCCACCTCCCTGAGGTCCCGACCTGGGGCCATAGGCAGAGCTGCATGCCCAACCTCCCCGTCAGGCCCATGCCCTCTCTGCCAGGCCCAGGCTGCTTCCCTCTGGAACGTGCAGTGAGAGGGATGAGTCTCATCCGTGGGAGCTTCACAGCGTGGGCTGGGCACGAGGAAGGGCTGGAGCTGGGACCTGAGGCCTCCTGCCTGAGGGTTGCTGGTCCTTGGCCTTGGCTCACCTGCTGCACAGTGGCCTGGGCCATCGCCCAGATGGGGGCTGGCTGCAGGTGGGAGCCACTCTGGTGGGCCTGAGGCAGTGTAGGGAGTGGGGCTACTTGTGGGTAGTGGGAGGGCCCTCACTCACTGGCTGTCTTTTCCCCTCCCGCCCACTCCTCCTCTGGCCCTCAGACACTACTGCAGGTGAGATGATCCACCCTTGGGCGTGTGGGCATGGGCATTGCAAGGGGAAGCCAGGCCCTCCCGGCCCGGGGCACTTCAGCACCACGGACACCTCCCACCACCTCCAGAGGCCGGGGCTGCACCCGCCGCCTGTGGGCTGGTTGCTGGCACCAGCGAGATGCAGGCTGAAGCCGGACCCCTGCCCCCACCTGAGGGAGTGGTGGCAGCTGTGCCTTCCTGCCCCCACTCAGCCTGAGAGCAGGTGGCCAGACCTCTCCTCCTCTGGCCTGGCCTGCTTGGACGGAGGACACACAGGACACCCAAGGCTCTGGCTCCTCAATGGAGCTCTGTCAGGCTGCTGGAGCTGACCCAGCTGGCGACGTGCACGGGCACTCAGGATGCGGGGGGGG